CTGTCTGCTTCGTTCTCAGTGACGCTTTGGACGGAGTGGGGGGGGGGGCAGCAGTGACCAAGGACGGCCTCGGGACCTTCTCAGCGGTCGTCCAGGGGACCCACGAGGCCAAGGGGGGAAGAGGGACACTCGTGCCCCCTAAGAGGGCCTCCCGTCCAGAGGGAGGGGGGGGCACCTCAAGGTCCCTCCCAAACCCTCCCTGGTCCCCAGTCGGCCACTTGCTCAGAAACCGCTGAATGCGACCCCTGCCCGAGGCCTGTCTCTGTGAACACGGAGTGACCTGGGGACACAGGAGAGGCTCTGACAAGAGCCCACAGCGAGGGCTTCCTGGGATGCCGAGCTGAGGTGCCAGTGTGGGCTCTGGGCGGGCACGGGGCGGGCACGGGGAAGGGCCGTGGGGCTCGGAGAGGCAGCACCCGCTGCAGGGAGGCTGGGTTCCGCTGCAAACCCCTGCTCGGCTCTGCTCGCTCCTGGCTCCTGGCTGACTCACCTCCCTGCTCCCACCTGTTCCCCTTCCACCGCCTCCCACCTGCCTCCCCACCCCTGCTCTGCCCTCCCTCCCTCACTCCAGGCTCCTGGCGGTGCCGAAAGAGGGGGGTCGCGGTATCTGGGGGTGTAGGAACCTCAGCTACCGGCGCTTGGGATGGTGGACACCAGCTGGCTGAAGGGGCCCTTCCTCACCTCCCCCTTTGTCCTGCCCTGGCCTCTCTCTCCCCCGTCAGCCACAGCGGGGCCAGGGGTGGGAGGCAGGGAGAGAAGGAAGGGGAAGGAGGGGGAGGGAAGGGAGGAAAGGGTGGGGCAGGGAGAGGAAGAGGGTGCGGTCTAACGAAGCTGAAAACCTCGCCCTTATCTGCGTATAATCCCCATTCGGGCCGTGATTGTAGAGTCACCTTTGCTTCCTTCCCGCCCGCGTCTGAAGCACTTCTTTCCTTTTGAACGCAAATTGCTTAAAGGAAAATAGGAGCCATCGCTGGTGTGGCTCAGTGGATAGAGCGGCGGCCTGCGGACTGAAGGATCCTGGGTTCAATTCTGGTCAAGGGCAAGCACCTCCGCTGCCGGCCAGGTGTGTGCAGGAGGCAACCAGTTGATGTGTCTCTCTCACATCGATGTTTCTCTCTGTCTCTCCCCCTCCCTTCCACTCTCTATAAAAATTGAAGGAGCCCTAACCGGTTTGGCTCAGTGGATAGAGCGTCGGCCTGCGGACTGAAGGGTCCCAGGTTCGATTCCGGTCAAGGGCATGTATCTTGGTTGCGGGCACATCCCCAGTAGGGGGTGTGCAGGAGGCAGCTGATCGATGTTTCTCTCTCATCGATGTTTCTGACTCTCTATCCCTCTCCCTTCCTCTCTGTAAAAAATCAATAAAATTTATTTTTTAAAAATTGATGGAAAAATATCCTCAAGTGAAGATTAACAAGGAGAAGGAGAAGGAGAAGGAGAAGGAGAAGGAGAAGGAGAAGGAGAAGGAGAAGGAGAAGGAGAAGGAGAAGGAGAAGAAAACAAAAAGAAAAATAGGAAAGAACCTAGAAGACATTCAACTCAGCGGTTCACTGGTCAGACGCGCCTCCTCACAGTTCGTCCTTGGATCGCAGGCCGTGATGCGGGCCTGCCTCTCGCTGTATTTTCCCTGGGTCCTGACTTCTCTTGGCATTGATGGATTCCACATATTTTCCACTCCCCTGGGTCCCAGGCCTTCCCACCCACCGCCCACAGAACCGGCCACGGAATTTCTGGGGTCCATTGCAGAATGAAAATATGTGTCTCTTGTTCAAAAGTTGGGAAAACTGCCATTAGAAGCGCTGAAGTATAAAGCGCGTCCTTCCCTCAGATCGCCGCCTCTGCGGCTGCGCTTGCCGCGTCGTCCCCTCGGGCCTCACCTGCAGAACACAAGTTCAAAGAGACCACGAGGAATTGACTCCCAACAGAGTCAATAAAAATTAGTTTTTAAAAAGAATTTCAAGACAGGCCAC